ATTCAATGAAATATTAGTATCTCATTGGTGTTTTAATTTGCAATTTCCCTAATAACATATAATATTGAACATCTTTTCATGTGATTATTTGGATATTACCTATCTTTCTTTGGTGAGGTGTCTATTTAGATCCTTTGTTCACTTTTTAATTGGGTGGTTGACTTTTAGAAGTTCTTTGTATGTTCTGGGTAAAAAAATCTTTATTAAATATGTGTTTTGCAGATATTTCCTCCTAATCAGTGGCTTATCTTTTCATTCTCTCATCTAATCAATTCTTTTGGCATAAAGTTATTCATATTTTCTTGTTTCGTAAATCTATGCTATATTTTTAAGTGTATTACAAAATTTTTATTTTAAGTATATTTTATTGATTATGCTATTACAGTTGTCCCATTTTTCTCCCCTTGATTCCCCTCCACCCTGCACTCCTCCTTCCACCAGAATCCACCCTCCTCTTTAGTTCATGTCCATGGGTCGTACATATAAGTTCTTTGGCTGCTCCATTTCCTATGTTAACCTCCCCCTGTCTATTTTGTACCTACCATTTATGCTTCTTATTCCCTGTACATTTTTTCTCCTTCCTCTCCCCGGCTGATAACCCTCCATGTGATCTCCATTGCTGTGATTCTATTCCTGTTCTAGTTGTTTGCTTAGTTTGTTTTTGGTTTTGTTTTTTTTTTAGGTTTAGTTGTTAATAGTTGTGAGTTTGTTGTCATTTTACTGTTCATAGTTTTTATCTTCCTTTTCTTAAATAAGTCCCTTTAACATTTCATATAATAAGGGCTTGGTGATGATGGACTCCTTTAACTTGACCTTATCTGGGAAGCACTTTATCTGCCCTTCCATTCTAAATGATAGCTTTGTTGGATAGAGTAATTTTGGATGTAGGTCCTTGTCTTTCATAACTTGGAATACTTCTTTCCAGCCCCTTCTTGCCTATAAGGTTTCTTTTGAGAAATCAGTTGTTAGTCTTATGGGAATTCCTTTGTAGGTAATTCTGTTTCTTTCCTTTGTTGCTTTTAAGATTCTCTCTTTATCTTTAAACTTTGGCATTTTAATTATGATGTGTGTTGGTGTCATCTTCTTCAGGTCCAACTTGTTTGGGGATTCTCTGTGCTTCCTGGACTCGTATGTCTATTTCCTTCACCAAATTATGGAAGTTTTCATTATTTTTTCATATAAGTTTTGAATTTTTGTTCTTTTTCTCTTCCTTCTGGCATCCCTATGATTTGTACATTTGTACATTTGGAGACGTTCCAGAGGCTTCTTACAAGGATCCTCGTTTTTAAGACTCTTTTTTCTTCTTGCTGTTCTGATTGAATGCTTTTTTCTTCCTTGTGCTCCAGATCATTGATTTGATTGTCATCTTCATCCCCTCCACTGTTGGTTCTCTGTAGATTTTTATTTCACTTAATATAACCTTCATTTGTTCCTGGATCTTTTTATGTCACTGCTGTACTCAGCGATTGTATTTCTTTGAGATCCTGATCACCAAGAGTTTTGAACTCTGTATCTGTACCTCCATTTGATTTAATTCTTTTTCTAGAGTTTTGTTCTGTTCTTTCAATCAGGCCAGATTTCTTTGTCTCCTCAATTTGGCAGCCTCCTTGTGTTTGTTTCTAGGGCCGCTTTGACTCCCTGTCCTAGTAGCATGGGCTACCTGTAAATTCTGTGGGGTGGAGACTTAGGTGATCCCAGGGTGGGGCAACCAGTTTCACCACTTTGTGGCTCTGTGTGGGGGGAGGGCTCAGAGCAGGGACAGAGCTGGTGCCTGGCTTCTGGAGTTTGCCTGGGATGAAGTTGTCTCCCAGCACTCACCCTGTTGCCAGTCATTTCCCTTTCTCCCCAGTTATGCCACTTATGCCCTTCTAGCTGTTGCCCCCATGCTGAATCCCAGAGGGACTGGGTCTGTGTAAATCCTAAATCCATGCAGGCCCTTTAAAAGGAGTCTCCTGATAATCCAGCAGTTTCTTCTGCTGCCCCATCCCCCACTGGTTTTTACAGCCAGAAATTATGGGGATTTATCTTCCTAGTATTGTCACCTGGGCTGCTGGGTGGTCTGGTTTTGGGCTGGGGTCCCTTGCTCCCAAAGTATCCCTCCTAATTTTTATCTACCACCTGTGAATGTGGGACCACTCATTCCACCGCCTCTCCACCTCTCTCCATCCACTTCTCTGTCCCTCCTGCCCATCTGGATGTGTGTGGCTTCTTTATATACTTGGTTGTTGGACTTCCTACAGTTAGATTTTCTGATGGTTCTGGGTGATATTTGTTTTGTAGTCTCATTGTAATATTTTCTGTAGTTGTGCAGGGAAGCTAAGCGTTTTTACCTATGTCTCCATCTTGACCTGAAGTCCCAAATTAATTTTCCTTAATCTTCTTCGTATATTTGAAAAATATGTGTTCTCCAAATGCTAGGTACAGAGTTCTATATATGTGCCTTGTTTAAGAGAGCTATACACTGAATGTTTTATGTCCTCTCAAAATTCATATGTTGTAAACTAATTCCAATAAAAGGGTATCAGAAGGTGAGAGCCTTCATTGGTGATTAGGTCATGAGGGTGGAGTCCTTATGAATGGAATTAGCGCCTTATAAAAGAGGCCCAAGAGAGCCCCCTACCCTTCTGGCCAAGTGAGGATACAGTGAAAAGGCAGATGTCTATAAACCAGGAGGCAGCCACTTACCAGACAGTAAATCTGTCGGCACCTTAATCATAGACTACCCAGCCTCCAGAACTGTAAGAAATAAACTTCTGTTGTTTATAAGCCAACTTCTGTTGTTTATAAGCCACTTAGTCTATGGTATTTTGTTATAAAAGCCTGAATGGACTACAACAAAGAGTGAAGTACTAAAAAGCTGACTGGAAAGTCTTTATGCACAGATGGGGCTTGTTGACTGGGCTTTCAATGTAGGGTGAGTGCTTATGGACCCAGACAATTCATTATGGGATTCTTCAAATGTCAATATTCTGCCATTCTAATCTATCTTCTAAAACTGTGTTAACATTTGTGTCTGCTGTTATCTCCTCTCCTGTTCTTCTTTTTCCTTTGGGTTTAGAAGCTTTTTGCTCCATTACTTTTCATTACAATTTAAAAAATTTAAGTACATATGCATCTGGAAAGATGACCACAAATATGCAACCTGAACACACATGTAAACCAGCCCTCAGTTTAAGAAATTAAACATTATCAGCACTTCGTGAGCTTCCCCATGTTCTCCTCCAGTCATTATTCTACCAAGGGCAGTGACTACATTGACCTCTAACAGCATGGATATTTGGGTAGTTTACAGTTTAGGGCCAGCACCATGTATGGGTATGAACTTTTTTATACATTTCCTTTTTCATGAACGTATCGACCCATTTCTGTTGGATATATACCTAGGTGTGAAACTGTTTGGACAAATGCTTTGCATATATTCAGCTTTAGCTGATAGTGCCAAACAGTTCAATGAAGTGATTGTACCAATTTGCATTCCTTTCAGCAGCTTATTCGAGTTCCACTTGCTCCACCATCTTGTCAGAACTTGGTCTTTTCTGTTTGTTTGTTTATTTATTTATTCATTTTAGGCTTTCTGATGGATATGTAATGGTACCTCATTATGGTTTTAATTATTTGCATTTACTTTTTACCTTTTTGTTAGTTTTTAAAAAATGTGTTTCAGGATGGAGCAGATTGAAATGAAGGAGGTTAATCCTCTACATCTGTCAGAAATTTCCCCTGTATGGGTATTAATCTAATGGAATTTAGAACTCTCTTCCTGTACTGGAGTAGGGGGTACAATATAGAGGATGAGGGCAACAAGCTTTGTAATCAGACACACTGAGGTTTGATTCCCAGATCCACTGCTTACTAGCTTTGTTACTTTGAGAAATTTATTTAACCTTCCCAATCTTATGTAAAAATGGCACTTAAAATAGTACTGCCTTACTAGGTTATTATGGAGATAATATGAGATACAATATGTAAAATGCTCTGCAAAGTTGCTCACACACTGTGAACACATACTCAACTAATGGCAGCTATTATAATAGCTTATGTTGTCTTATTTTAAAATTTTTTATTGTTTTAGAGAGGAAGGGAGAGAGAGAGACATCAGTTTGTTCTTCCACTTACTTATGCATTCATTGGCTGATTTTTGAATGTCCTAACTGGGGATCAAACCCACAACCTTGGTGTATGGGACAACGCTCTAACCAACTGAGCTCCCTACACCTTACATTGTTTATGCACATCTCATTTCTCCTTCTGATTTACACATTCTATGTCAGAGCACACAGCATAAAGCTGCCTCACATATAATAATTGCTGGAAAAGACTGGTTGGATGAACAATTTAAATATAAATGGGAGGTATTGTGATTGTTATAATAAAAGATGGCATAAATTATTATAATGCCTAAAGTACCAAATGCACTGCTAATGAGTAATACATTATTTAAACACATGTCTCTCCTGAGCCCTTGCAGGGTAGCTCAGTTGGTTAGAGCATCCCCCGTCAGGGCAAATACAAGATACAGCCAATGAAGGCATAAATAAGTGGAAAAATCAATCAATCATTCTCTCTCTCCCCCTTCCTCTGTCTCTCTAAAATCAATAAACCAAAGTTTAAAAAAAAGGTAAAAGTGTATCTCCTATTTACCTTCATCATTTGACAGTTAAGTAAATTAATACAGTAGGGAAACACTACTAGACCTAATTAGTAATGACAATTAGATGTTCCGTATTGCATTTGTGAGGATTCCAGAAACTTAACCCTTCAAAACTAAAACAAACAAAAATTTTACCCCAGAAACAAACAAACAAAAAAACCCCACCACTTTTCTGAAGAAAGTTAAGCCTTTCAAATTTTAACAGACCCTTGTATTCAACAGTGGAATGACTGGAACAGCTGCCCCAGCGGCTTCCGTACAATATGGCGCTGCCCATTTGTGCATCCCTGCTGGGATTACGTCCTCATAGTCAGTCGCAGAACCGGAAGTGGTTTCTGCCATAGTGGATCCGGGTGGGTTCGCACAGGTGGCTGCGGAGGTTCCAGGTCTTGAGCTTGAGGCACCGCAGATGTTCAGGTGGGATTCCCATCGCAAGTGAGTGAGGATCGGGGGTGGCGAGGCTTTTCCTCCAGTCTGTGCAAGGGGTGGGGGTGGGGGTTTCCAGTGTGGATTGAGGAGAGGGGTCGTGGAGTTGGTGATGTCACCATGTGCGGGGGCGACTGATTGCGGGGACCTTGCAGTCCCAGAGCTGCTTGGCACTGCCCTCTTCCCGCCCCTCCGCGGGCTTCCTTGCACCCCTTGCTGGCGGCGGGGGCGGGCCTAGTGTGCCGTCACCCACGCCCTACCAGGGCATACCCTTTGGACCCCATTTCTCTGTAGGAGCACCTACCAAACCTTCATGGCTTCTTCACCCAGTAAAAACGAAGTACCATCTGCAGCACCTAGCAACTCGTTGGGCGCTGCGTGTACCACGCGTCCAGTTACAGTTCCCTCCGCCGGATTCGTGGGGACTTACCCCCGCCCCCCATTGATACCACCCCTTTCCTCCCAGGCCACACCCTCTGTTTCGGGCCTTCCTGGGGAGCCACATCTTTCTTTTCTTCCCATCTCTGGGACAGATCAAAACTGGAACATTAGTGATTATTTATTACATAACTGATGTCTCCTTATTAAATTATAAACAAACCCAAACCTGTAGAAGCTTTTGACGTACTATGGACCCAAACGAACTATTTTTAGCTACCGACTCCTTTATTAAAACACCAAATTAATTATATCATATTAGAAGCATGGAAGGAACTACATTGAAATGTTTTGTTAATTATCAGGATTAGGAAATGCGAGGGGGGATGATTGATTTTGGTCAAGTTGAACTTGTTTTAAAAATGCATTTATTCCTCTATATTTATTTTAGTTGTAGTACCTGCATGCAATCTTGTAAAAACATTGATGTGAACATTTGAAACAGTATAAATCCTCTTTGACCTCTTTCTGTTTTTTCTTGTTTAATCCCTTGCCTCAAAGTAAGAACCATTATCCATTTGGGGTATGTTTTTCTATTTCTTTATATTTATTGACAAGAGTTTGTACATATAAGATATATTGTGTTAAAGTTTTACAAATGCATCTTTTTTTAAAGATTGTATTTATTTTAGAGAGGGGAAGGAAGGGGAAAAAGAGAGGAAGAGAAACATCAATGTGTGATTGTCTCTTGCACATCCTCTACTGGGGGGACCTGGCCAGCAACCCAGGCATGTGCCCTGATTAGGAATCCAACCAGCTACCCTTTGATTTTCAGGCTGGCACTCAACCAATGAGCCACACCAGCCAGGGCAAGTGCATCTTTTACAAATAAGGTATATTGTACCTACTTAGCAACTTGACTTTTTGTGCTTAAAAATGGGTCTTAGAACTTTTTCCTGGTCTAAGGAAACACATCTACCTTATTGTTTCTACTTAACTCTGCAAATTCCTTAGTATGTTAAGATTTCGCTCTGGCTGGTGTGGCTTAGTTGGTTGGAGTGTTGTCCTGTAACCAAAAGGTTGGGGGTTCAACTCCCAGTCAGGGCACATACCTAGGTAGTGGTTTGATTCCTGTTCCTGGCCCTTACATTCCCGTGTATGGCACATGGGGGAGACAACCAATCCATGCTTCTCCCTTACATCAATGTTTCTCTTTCTCCTTTCCTCTCTCTCTAAAATGCAATGAAAAAGATTTCTTCAGGTGAGGCTTAAAAAAAAAAGACTTCATAGTATATGAGATTCTGTGATTACTTACAGTTTTTCACTGTGGCATGGAAAAATCCTTCCACGTGTCTCAAGGACAGATACCTTCAAATGGAATTGCTGGGTGGGAGCATTTGGATATTTTGTGTATGTGTGTTGTATTTTCTTTAAGTACAAAGACTTTTTACAGTCACATCGCCTGGAGCTCATTTCAGCCACTGTGTTTGACCACCAGTCCCTTGTCTCTCTTTCAGCGTGATGAGGCAGATACCCTTTCCACGGGGAGGGGTAATCCATGGTTTGTTGCCTTTGCCAATAGCAAAAATGTTGGAGAGCCTTGTGGCAAAGCTGTTGCCATTAACATCGTTCGTGTGAACTACATCAAAAGAACAGGGTGTCTCTCTCTGTTGGTTATCACATCAGTTCTTCCCAGGTTAGCACCTCTGGACACCATACACAGGTTACAAGAATAAAACTTGATGAAATCAGTAATTTTGCCAGTCTCCAAATCAGTCTGAATGGTGTCATTGACCTTGGTGAGGGGATCAGGGTAGCGGATGGTGTGAGTGTCCTGCATCACCAGGTGAGGGATTCCTTTTGTGCCCACCAAGATCTTCTTCACTTTGCACAACTTGTACTTGGCCTCCTCCGGTGTGATCTGATGAACAGCAAAGCGACCCTTGGTATCATCGATCAGATGGAAATTCTTTCTGGTTTTGTCAATGCTGATCACATCCATAAAACCAGCAGGGGAGGTTGTATCAGTTCGGACCTTGCCATCAATCTTAATGAACCACTACATGCAGATCATCTTTACTTCATCTCCTGTCAGGATATACTTAAGTCTGTTCCTTAGGAAAATGACGAGAGGGAGATATTCTCTTAGCTTGGGGGGACCGGAAGATGTTTGAGGAGCAAACACGCCGGTCAGTTTATCCAGCAGCCAATGCTTTGGAGCTGCTACACACTTCAAATGCTTTTTGGGACCAGGAACCATGGCTGGGCTGGCACAGAAAGAGGCGAGGATGTGGATGTTTTAATGCCAAAGTGGTTACTAGTGAGAGGATGTTTTCATGGTTGTTGGCAAGTTCTATGTCCCCTTTTGAGAAATGTTTCATTTCTATTGGGTTATCTTTTTATGCTTATATACCAGTGTTATATATATTCTAGATAATAATCTTTTGACTTTTATATATATTTTAAATATCCCCAACTTAATGCTTATTTATTTATTTATTTATTTATTAATCCTTATCTGAGGAGATGTTTTATTGATTTTAGAGAGAGAAGAAGGGAAAGAGAGAGAGAAACATCACTGGGAGAGAGAAACATTGATCAGTTGCTTCCTGTAGGGGCTGGGACCGGGATCAAACCCGCAACCCTTTTGGTGTGTGGGGCGATGCTCCAGTCAACTGAGCCACCCAACCAGAGCCCAGCTTACTGCGTTTTAAAGTGGTTGCTTATCTTTAGCCATGTGGCATTTTTATTAAACCAGAGTTTTAAATTTTATGTTTAAATATCCATCTTTTATGTTTGTGTTTTGTATTTTCTGGCTATCGTTCCCTACCCTAATGGTTCTCAAGTGGGAGCTATTTTGCCTCTGAGGGGCCATTTGGCAATGTCAGGAGGCATTTTGTAAAATTGAATGTCTAGAGGGAGGAATGGAGAGAGAAACAGCAATTTGTTTTTCCACTTATTTGTGTGTTCATTGTTTGATTCTTTTCTTTTTATCCTCACCTGAGGACATTTTTTATTTGCTTTTTTAAGAGAAAGAGAGGAAGGGATAGAGAGAAATATCAGTGCAAGAGAGAAGCATCAATTAGTTGCCTTTGCATGCACCCAGACGCATTTTACCTGTCTGGACCTGGGGTCACCTGTACTTGTGCTTGGACTGGGGAGGAGCCTGCAGCCAACGCATGTACCCGGACTGGGAATTGAGCCCACAGCCTTTTGGTTATGGGATGATGCTCCACACCGGCCAAGGCCATTGGTTGGTTCTTGTATGTGCCCTAACTGGAGATTGAACCCACAACCTTGGTGTATAGGGATGATGTTCTAACCAGCTGAGGTAGCCAGCAAAATTCATGTTTAAAATTGAGAAAGAAGGCACAATCAAGATGCAAACTGGGGCCCTGGCTGGTGTAGCTCAGTGGATTGACTGTTGTCCTGTGAACCAAAGGGTTGCTGGTTTGATTCCCAGTCAGGTCACATGCGTGGGTTGCAGGCCAGGTTCCCAGTAGGCAAGGGCAAGAGAGGCAGCCACACATTGATGTTTTTCTCCCTCTCTTTCTTCCTCTCTCCCCCTTTCTCTAAAAATAAATAAATAAAATATTATTTAAAAGAAAGATGCAAATTGGTGTCAAAGTATGAAACATTTGGCTGAAAAACAAGATAAAATTTAGGAGAAAGAACTGTAAAGTTTTGGATTTAAGCATGAAATATAAACTAATGAAACTCAGTTTGGTATCTGAGCATTTTAATTTATCTCAAGCTTTATATTACCCATTAGTCATATAAAACATTCCACTACTACTTAAAAACGTTTCATACATCATTAATAAAATACAGGTAACATGGGTAATAGTATCAGTGTAGCCCACACCAATTAGACCTTGTCTCCAATACTGAATACAGACCCACGTGTCACATTTTAAGCAATACCTGGACGAACTTGGGGCTGTTCAGAAGGACCTAGCTGCAGTGGTGAGTGGTGCACAAACTAGGTAATAGGAAGGCTGGTCGGGTTAGGTAGACATACTGATGGAAGTTTAGAGCCACTGTCTACACATTTCACAAGTTCTGGGGAGGGAGTAATTGCTTTTGTCATTTCAGAGGCCAGACGGAGCATCAAGGAGAGCAACTTCTATGTAGCAAACCTTAACAGAATGTGAGGACTTTTCAACAAAAACTGCCTCTTAAGGTAATGAACTCTGTTCCTAGAAGTGTTCAGGTACAGACCGGGTCAGAGGCCAGACAGAGGTCTGTCACTTTGACCGTGAAAAAGATTCTTGAATGGTGTGGGAGCTGAGTTTGGGAGGTTCCTAAATTTTAACACTGTGACTCTTTGTTTTCCTTTAATAGAAGTTCTGTGAACCTCAGTACTAGTAACAACAAATATATACTGAACCCTAATGTGCTAGCCAATATGTTAAGCGAAGTATATCGATCATCTTACTTAAGCCTCCCAATAATTCTACCTGGTAGGTGCTATCTTTCCCATTTTACCAAGGAGGAATCTGAGGCTGATTGGTAGAGAAGTTCAGGGAATTGCCTAAGTTTGTATAGCTAGCAAGTGGCAGAGGCTGGCTTTGAACCGTAGGGTGTTTGCCTCTAAGGCCCATGTCATTGTCTTCTACCTTATGCTGCTCTCTGCACACTTTAACATATCTATTTAATTCATGGAGTATGACTCACATCAGAAATATAATTATATTTCTTAAGTGTCAAGTGGGATATTTACATTGCCTGTCTCTGAAAAACATCATTTAAAAAACTTGTGGTTTTCTAATTATGGATATATCTGTACTTGTATAGAACTCAAAAATTGTTAACTATTATTTGTAATAATTACTTATACTCCCACTACCCTTGGGTAACCACGGCTCCTGTGACGGTGACCCACGGCTTCGCGGGGATGTGTTCTGAGGATCACGTGGTTAAGTGACTGTCGTGTGGGAGCCCCGAGAGCACACCCACGCGGCCTGGAGGGCACAGCCCTCCGCATACCGAGGCCGCGCGGGGCCCTGCCTCTCCTGGGTTACGACCTGGACAGCATGTTGCTGCACAAAACACCGGAGATTAAATCAAGCACAAGACAAAACGATGGCAGTCGAGATACAGTAGACACGAGGAGTAGGAGGCTGCTGCCGGCAGAACATGGCACACTTGTAGCAAACTTTCTTTCAATAAGCAGAAACTGCCATCTAAAATGCCAGTAAAAAAGTATAGTATAATATGTATTCACAAACCAGCAACATAGTTGTTTGTTACTACAAGTCCTGTGTACTGTACGTAATTGTCTGTGCTGTACTGACCAGCAGTGCAATAGGTTTGTTTACACCAGCATCAGCACAGCCATGTGAGTAATGCCTTGTGCTGTGACATTGTGAGGGCTGTAATGGCACTAGGCTATAGGAGTTTTTCGTTATGATCTTATGGGACCAGTGTTGTTTTTGTAGGTCATCATGTGTCATTATGCAGAGCCATTAACAAAAATTTTTTTCACTAACGTATCAGTAAGTGGAAGCGAGGGTCTCGCTTATTGTGTTTTAATTGATATGCTTGTGTGTGATTAAAAGAGCCTTGGGCAGCTGGCAGAGGGCAGGAGGGTTTTCTTGGGTGAGGGTGGAGTACAGAATGTACAAAATAGAAAAAAATGAAAATATCGCTGTCTCATGTGGAAATTTGTAGCGGGGTTTTCATGGATTGTGAATGGAATGTTCTGTAGGGGAAACTTGTTCCCGTATAGGTTTAAATTCTTCATGTAAATATATTGTTACCATTTGTTTTACAGATTGTGGGATTAGTGACATGCTTTCCTAAAAAGCAGCAGAGTTGAAGATGTCTCGACAGTTGGTAGCTTTGACAGTGACTACGCTTTTCGGTGTGGCAGTCGGGGGGTTTGTCCTGTGGAAAGGCATCCAGCGCCGGAGGAGTAGATTGAGCCGTGGGACCCAGCAGCAGAAGCAGCTGCAGCAGCAGCAAGCTCCAAGCAGGAGAGAGCTGCCCCCTCCAGAGGAGGACCGGCTGCACTCCACTGCCCCCAGAGCCTCATGGGAAGAGAGGATCCTTGATGCCAAGGTGGTGACTGTGTCTCAGGAAGCAGAGTGGGATCAAGTTGAACCCTTGCTTAGGAGTGAGTTACAAGATTTCCCAGTACTTGGCATTGACTGTGAGTGGGTAAGTTAAAAAGCAAAAATTAAATCATTTCTGCTTTTCCAGCTAGGGACCTGGAATAGTCAGATAAAGGATAAGATTAAAGGAGAACTAACTTGTCCTCAACTTGCTAGTAAGTAGATTTTAGCAACAGAAGCTACTTCTCTTTTCAGGAGAGGGGAGTGCTCATAATCATGGATTTTAAAGTTAGGCAGATCCAGACTGGCCTGCAACCCAGGCATGTTCCCTGACTGGGATCAAACCGTGGACCATTCGGTTTGCAGACTGGCGCTCAGTCCACTGAGCCACAGCAGCCAAGGCTACTATTAATGTTTTAATAGTAGTTTCATGAAGATGCCATGGAGAAGCTCATTAAGAAAGTCTTTTTAAATGGGCATTATTATACAAGTTGGAATTTTAAAAGATAACAAAGTTTGAAACATTGTTTACTTTAAGCCAGGTAGTGCGCTCTTTTGCTTGATGGTCTCATTTAGTTTAATTAGATTCTCCTAATAATCCCTCCTGGGAGATACTGTTACTCCCCTTCTTTTTACAGGTAGAAAATGGAGGCACAAACAGGGTCAGTTACTTGCTCGGGGCCACAAAGCTGGCAGCTGGCATTTCAGCCCAGGGCTTTCTTTGTCATCTGGTTAGTTTTCCTAATGACTGTCAACTGTGTTGGGGTTGACGCATGGTGTTGATGACCATATCATGGCACACGTACTCCTCTGTTCTGAGTCACAGAGTGCAGTCTCCTTGAATCAGAAGATACTACAAAAATATAAGTAACTCAGAGTTATCATCTCTTGTTAATTCATTGTAGCACCTTGCCAAGAATCTCTGATGTTTGTCTTCTGGATATCTAGAATACAGCCAAGAACTAGGAAACGTAACCAAACGGGCCTAAGCAAACGGACCTGCAACAAAGCCAGATCGGGGTTGGTGACGAATCCACCACTGTGGTTCGTCAACACAGTGATGACGAAGAAGCGATCACTGGACAGTGTGGTCACCGGACAAGTTCGCTGGTCACCCAAGGCCTCACGGCATAGCTGCTGAGTGTACTGCTGTATATCAGCAATAGTAGTAGTTGTTTATACCAGTGACCACCGGGCACTTTTAGTTTATTCTGTATAAAAAATTACATCATTTTAGAGATATTTATACCAACATCAATAGAAGAAAACATTAGTAAGCAGTGAGGTTTGGCATTTGCCAAATGCCTTGATTATTCTAACTAATGAAGTATAATTACAACAACAAACAGGATATTCTGAAGTGAGTAGTTAGTAACAGCAACTGACTTAATAATAATGGGGTTTAATTACAATAGCAGGGGCGTGGAAAAGTTAAAGCCAAAACCCACTTCATATTGTGTGACGCCCGCGTTCAGTGTGTGTTGCATTCACGCCGGGCGCCGCGTCTGCCCACAGGAGGCGTGGCCTCTCTGACGGCTGCCACAGAAAGACCTCGCGAGAAAGCCATCGTCCTCGCGTGGCCATTCTTCCCTTGCTGTTTCCCCTTCGCTCTCATTACTTCGGTGTGTTTGTTTAGCTAGTGGTTTTGCTCTTGGTCTACAGTCAGTATTTGTTTAGACTTACCAAAGTATTTCCTTTTTTTTTTTAAATTTTTTTATTGATTATGCTGTTGCAGTTGTTCTATTCCCCCCTTCATTCCCCTCCACCCCACCCCCCATCCCCACCATTACCCCCCCTTTAGTTTATGACCATGTGTCTCAAGTCCTTTAGATTCTATATTTCCCACGCTATTCTTGCCCCCCTTCTATTTTCTATCCACTGTCTATGCTACTTATTTTCTGTACCTTCTCCCCCCTTCTCCTCCTCCCACTCCTCTGTTGCTAACCCTCCTTGAGATCTTCATTTCTATGTTTCCACTCCTGATCTAGCTGTCCTTTTAGTTTGCTTCCGTTTTAGGTGTGGTTGTTAATAACTGTGAGTTTGCTGTCCTTTCACTGTTCATATTTCTTTAACTTCTTTTTCTTAGATAAGTCCCTTTAACATTTCATATAATAAGGGCTTGGTGATGATGAACTCCTTGAATTTGATCTTATCTGAGAAGCACCTTATCTGTCCTTCCATTCTAAATGAAAGTTTTGCTGGATAGAGCAATCTTGGTTGTAGGTCTTTGGATTTCATGACTTGGAATACCTCTTTCCAGCCCCTTCTTGCCTGTAAGGTCTCTTTTGAGAAATCTGCTGACAGTCTGATGGGGACTCCTTTGTAGGTGAGTGTCCCCTTAGCTCTTGCTGCTTCTAGGACTCTCTCCTTCATTTTAATTTTGGCTAATGTAATGATGATGTGCCTTGGTGTGTTCCTTCTTGGGTCCAACTTCTTTGGGACTCTCTGAGCTTCCTGGATTTCCTGGAAGTCTATTTCCTTTGCCAGATTGGGGAAATTCTCCTTTATTATTTGTTCAAATAAGTTTTCCACTGGTGGCTGTGCCTTTCCCCCTTCTGGTACCCCTATAATTCGGATGTTGGAGCGTTTAAAGATGTCCTGGAGGTTCCTAAGACTCTCCTCATTTCTTTGAATTCTTGCTTCCTGACTCTTTTCTGTTTGGCCATTATTTGCTTTCTTCTGGTCCACTCCATTGATTTGAGTCCCAGTTTCCTTTTCATTGCTATTGGTGTCCTGTGCAATTCCATTCATTTCAATTAGTTTCGCCTTCATATATTTGTCTAATTTGTCGGTATAATCAACCAGTTCTATGAGGATCCTGATGACCAGTGTTTTAAACTGTGCGTCTGAGAGTTTTGATATTTCTTCATCGCTTAGATCTATGGGCTCTGGGCCTTTGAGAACTTGCGACATTTTTGGTCTGTTCTGGCCCTTTAAGTGTGAGAAGCAGTGCCTTAGACTCCCAGGTCGCTGGGCTGTGACGCTGTATGTGGGGGTGTGGTCAGAGCGGGGAAATGGCGGCGCCCTCTACTGCTGTTTGCCGCGGGGACCCGCCGGCCCCGGTCCAACCGCCCACTCCCTCGCCTGTCCCCCTTGCCTGTCTGCTCGCGTACAAATGGGCAACCACAGTCAACACGCAGCACCGCTTCCCCGCCGTCTCCTCCGCGGTCGCTCGCCTAGTGGCTTGCTCGGTCGCTCACTAGGTCCAACCCTGCGCCTGGATTCCGCGCCTGAGTCCGTGTGACCGAGTCCTCCTGTGCACCCCCTCACCAGCCACTGGTTTTGCCCCTTACTGGTCAGGCTGAAGAATTTGTTGTTAACGGACTTCCAAAAAGTTCAGTTTTCCGTGTTCTGGCTGTGTTTTCTGTTGCTAATATTCAGTTGTCTCTAAACTTGGTTGTGTGAGAAGGCACGGCACATCCACCTATGCCTCCATCTTGGCGGAAGTCCCTCCTTTTTTTTCTTTTAGTTTGTCTTTTTTTATATCTCAGACCTTCTTTTTGGACTCATTTTCTTTAAGGTCATAATTTAGAAGTTTAGCATTTCTTGAGGGCCCATTAATGATAATTGAAAATGTCTTTATTTTGCTTTTGATCTTGAAGATATTTTCAGTGGATGTAAAATTCTAGTTTGGCAGTTTATCAACATTTTCGACATAGTTTTTCATTGTCTGGCTTCTGGCTTCTCTTATTGTTGTTGAAAACCCTGTCGGTCCACATGGTAATTATTTATAGGTCATTTAATTTTTTGTAACTCCTTTTAAGATCTTTTTTTTTTAATAAGATTTTATTCATCCATCTTTATTTTTTTTTTAAGATTTTATTTATTTATCTTTAGAGGGGAAGGGGGGAGGAGAGAGGGAGAGAAATATCAGTATCTGGTTGCCTTTTGTGCGTTCCCTGCTGGGAACTGGCCTGCAGGGAACTGGCCTGCAACCCAGGCATGTGCCCTGACTGGGAATCGAACAGCAATACTCCGGTTCGCAGGCCCGCGCTCAATCCACTGAGCTACATCAGCCAGGGCTAAGATCTTTGTTGTTCTGAAAACTCACTGTGATAAGACTATGTGTTGTCCCTCTTGGGATTCCAGCTTGGGATTCAAACAGGTGAGGATTGGTATCTTTTATCAGCTGTTAAATTCTCTTTAAAGATCGTCTTTATCCTGTTTTCTTCTCCTTTTTCTTCTCTTCTGCCTTCTCTTCTTCCCCCTTGCTGGAATTTGATCAGCTACATTCTAAACTTTTTTTTTGAGATTTTATTTATTTATTTTTAGAGAGAGGGGAAGGGAGGGAGAAAGAAAGGGAGAGAAACATCAGTGTGTGATTGCCTCCCTCACCCTCGCCTACTTGGGACCCAGCCTGCAACCCAGGCATGTGCCCTGACTGGGAATCAAACCAGCAACCCTTTGGTTCACAGGACGACACTCAATCCACTGAGCCACACCAGCCAGGGCGTACATTCTGAACTTTTTATTGATAGCCTACATGTCTGGTAATTTCTTTTACATTTACTATTCTTAGTAAAGAATAGGCACAATTTCTTTGGGCCTTTGGTACAGTTCCCTTTTTCTTTCTTTGGCTTTGTCTAATCTGTTTAATTTGCTTCCTGAGTCTTTTTTTTAGAACCTTTTTTATTGTGAAATGAAACATATCAAGAAAAGAACCTGAAACAAAAATAAACAGCGAAATGATTTATCTAGATAACAGCTGTGTATTTAGAAATTAAGTCAAGAGCAAAATTGCCACTACCCCCAGGAGCCCCCCTTGTGACCCCTTATAAGCAGGGTTCCCCCCGCCCCTCTAAGGGTTGCCATTGTCCCGATTTCCTGGTATTTACTTTCTTGTTTTTCTTTTTACTTCTACTACTCAAGCATGCGCTGTAATACGGTTGTGCCTTTTTTAAATTTGACGAAATGCAGCCATCAAGTACGTATGCTGTCGTGTCTGGCTTCTTTCTCCCAGCTGTGTGCCTGTGCGGTTTACCTGTGTGGTTTGTGACTGTGACTCACTGCTGCACAGTCGTCCATTGCGTAAGTCACGTCACTACTCATTTATCCGTCCGAACGCTGGTGGACATTCGGGTGGGCCGCAGTGCGGGGCTCTTACAA